TCTGGGAGGGTTGTTTGGTCATTTATTTACCCTCTCCCATCCCCAAACAAATCCCTATGGCCCTGGCATCCCTGGCAAACTCACCCCAGCAGCCTCGGAAAACCTGACTGCTCAAACACAGTCTGGACATGTGAGGTCACACTGGCTAAACACAGGGTTTGATATAGATTTTTAGCTGACATGGCTGCCATCATCCTCTGCCCATTCTTGCCACGGTCATCGCCCTGTCTTCGTCCTTCCCCTGTCGTTGTCTTTGCAGTATCACAGTCCTGGCTGGAGGGGAAGGGGATGCAGCAGTGGGTGTCTGCCGGTGGGTGGCCAGATGAAGGGGATGTGGGTGGGGTGTGTGGTGGATGAGACCACGGGCAATGGGCAATGGGCAATGGGCGAACTGGTTCCCTTGTCACTGTGTTCACGTCGGCGCCGCCTTGCTTGTCATCGTTTTCCTCATCTCGTTGGCACAGCCCTGATCCCACCACCACAGCCATTGCACCTACCCTTTCCTTCCTGTTGTTTATCGCAATCATCCTTGTCCTCACGGTGTTCTCTTCCTCGCCCTGCACTCGTCTTCTCTCCCCTGCTCGAGTGCAGGCAGCTCGGTCGGTTAGCTGATGGGTGCTGAGCAGAAGCTGCCCATTTCCTTGCTGAAAGAGAGGGACGCTGCACAGGGGCTGAATGAGCGGAGGGTTGGAAGGTGGCGAGGAGCAGATGGGCAGGCTTGGGCAGCACGAGAGAGGGAGGGCGAAAGGGGAGGAGGTCGAGGGAGGGTCAAGGAGGGTCGAGGAGGGTCAGACTGGGAGAGGGTAGCGAGGTCATGGATGTGCCAGCCCACATCCCTATCGCGAGGGGAGGGGCACATGGTGGCTGTGTCGTGTTGTCATGGGGTCCTGTGAGGGCAGAAATTGTTTAGCAGGCATCTAAATACATGACAAATACGTTGACGTACCTTTTTCTTGTGTTTCGGGGCCAGTTTGCAGTGGGAAGGGGGGCGTGGTGGTGGACAAAGACCAGGATCAATGATGTTCAACATCGTTGATCACTGCTCAGTGAATTCTGGCCACACATCCCATTGGCTGGGACATGCGCCCCGATCTCATTCCGTTCTGTCGTCAGTCCATGGAACATCTCCGACGCATGCAGAATGACTTCTACCTGTATTAAAATGGTCGGTAATTGTTATTACTGTGTAAATACATATGTGTATGCATTTTTAATTAAACCTGAGCAACCTGAATTATTTTATGTGCAAAACTGTGTCATGCATGTGCCAACTACTGCACTCTTGTCATTGTATGTTAGATTCCAGGAGGGAGGAAAGCCGAATAAATCTACAAAAATCAAATATAGGATGGCCTTTCATAACAGTACTGGTAAATAGGCCTCCCCTGACTAATTCATTGATTTTAGAATGTAATCTAAGAAACTACAAACGACGAAGTGGATTCCAAAATGAAATGAACTCAAGATGTGTCAATCCTTGGACACTGGCTCATATCACAAGATCTATGTTGGAAATGCAGGCCAAAATTTTGATATATTGTACTTAATTACTCAAGGATCTAAAATCCCAAGTGGGTTTAGTGCTTCAGCTCGTCAAATGAGTGGTACTCAAAGGGTTGGAACTGGAGGGAAATGAAAATCACCATGGGATGGCAATAACCACAATTCTTAGTATGTTCTCATCCTCAGGTTATGTTCGGACACTCATAAATACATAGCATACACTACAGTAAGTAAATACCGACACTAAAAAGATTTCCCTCTTGCCTTGAGTGTCTGAGCCATTCTGCAGTCAATGAGCGGAACGTGGGCTGGCCAGACTGTGAGCGCCAGCCAATCATGTCGCTCGTGGCATCCGCCAGATGAGTGATCAACAATGCTCGTTTTCGTTGATCCTCATCTTCAGCCACCACCTGGCGACTCCCTTCATCGTCCAGTCCCTCAGATGACGCCTCAAAGCCGCAAAAAAGGTGAGTAGTATGTTTTGCTCATAAGTATGTACTCTAACATAAGTTTTCATTCAAAATTAGGACCACGAATGTCGACGTAATGTCGATGTTCATTTTCTTCCCATCTTGTGCCCTCCCCTTCAAGAGGGATGTGGGTAGGGCACAATCTCCCCCTTCGCCACCTAGCGCCCCCACCCAATCCACTGTGTACCCCGGATCTCGTGCCTATCGCAGCCCATTGCCCCTGCGCCGTGCTGCCCATTGCCCACCCCACCCCTTCAACAGGGATGCGGGTGTTGGTTGTCTGACCCACCGCCACCGCCACCACCTTCTCCCTCTTCCTCCGCATCTCCCTCTCCCTCTCCCTCTCATTCTCCCTTGCCCTCACTATCTTGTTCTCCCTCACCCACTCTCTCTCTCTCGCCCTTGCCCCCGCCCCTGCCCTCTCTCTCTCTCCCTCTCTCTCACACCCTCTTGCCCTCGCCCCTAGCCCTCTCTTGCCATCACCCTCACCCTCTGTCACCCTCGATATGACAGTGACAGGATGGTGGGGGGGCGCACATGGTGGGGTGTGTAGGACAATCACGACGGTGAAAACGAGTGAGTATCATTGGATGAGCGGTCGGACAAGCAGGTGGACAAGCAGGCAGATGAGCTCCAGCACGAGCAGGCACCTGAGAGGGAGAAGGTCATGTCATCGAGGGAGCACGAGCGGAGCTGAGCAGGGGAATGAACGAACGGGCAGGAGGGCAGGGCGAGAAGGCAATGATGATGATGAGAATGAGCGAGCACGAGCACGACGATGGGCAGCTGCTCGCTCTCAGCCTCTTGTGCACGTTATCTGCCACCCACCCATCTCTTTGCCTCACCCCTCCGTCTCATCCAGCTCTCGCCCTGTAGCCCTCCCTGTCAGCAAGGAGGCCAGCAGAGGACGAGAACACAACCCCAAGCAGGGAGGCGAGGGCACGCCATGAGACGAGCATGACGGCAGCAGGACAACAAGCCCCAATGGCAGCGGGACAAGCCGTGCACAGGAAGCATGACAGCAGCGAAACGGCAGCGGCGACCATAAGGGAGGTCGTGCGAGCACTACGGTAGTCAGGGAGCACAACAGCAAGGGAGGCACGATTGTAAGGCCCAAGCACAACAAGGACAGCTAGGAACCCCAGAGCAAAAGCACAGCGCAACGACCAGCACGGCACAAGGACCATGATGCAAGGATGAGCATGACGAGCATGACGCAACCACAAAGACGGCACGAAGACGAGCATGACATAACAACAATGATGAAGACAGCAGTAACTGGCATGGACATGGAAGCGGGTGGCTTGTGTAGGACGATGAGGATGGCCAGGAGGTCTTCCAGAGCAGAAACGGGTGCGTTTCTGCTCGCTTTCTCTTTATCTCATAGCGGGTGGCTCTAGTAAAGCCACCTGTGCAATTGTATTTATTTTATTACAATTTAATTTCATTCTTTTTGTATTTCTTTCGGTGTGCTCTGAGAATGCCCAAGCTTGCTGGACGCCAGAGGGCGGCACCTTTTGGGACATCCGAAGAAGCCCCGGGCCAGACCATAGACCCACGTGCGTCTTGGATGCCCGGAACTAAAAATAGACAACACACCTAAAAGCTCTGAAGGTCATCCAAACCAACCCCACCCAATCCAGCCATTCCTGCCCCCACAATGGTGGGGGAAATGGTGGAGAACGGCGACAAGATATATTTCCGGGCCATTGCCGTCCTTCCCTCATCGAAAATGGTGCACAGGAGCCCCCAAACGACGAGGAGCAGTGCTCGGGCATTGTTTCCTGTGTTGTTTGGCAGTATTGACAGCTCCTGCCCACATTCCCAAGACCCAGCACCCCCGGCAAGGTCACACAATGAGCACAGGGGAGGCTGACTGCTTAATGACAGTCTGGATACATAAGTTAAGTCTACTTAAACACAGTATTTGATGTCTTCAGGTAGCTTATAGAAGTGCTCGCCCATTCGCTCTCGCCCTTGCCCTCTCGCCTTTGCCCTCTCACCCCCACTGTCTCACCACGACGACGATGACAATGGGCAGCACGACAATGACAGGGAGGGCAGGATGACAACGGGGGGAGGGCAGGACAACAACGGTGGCGGGGGCACTCTGCCTCGCCCTGTCGCCCTTTGCCACACCTTCTCACCCCTCATCCGCTCCTCGTCCACCCCTTGCCTCCCTTGCCCTTGCCTCCCTCACCCTTGCCCTCTCCCCTTTGCCCTTTGCCCACCGCCCACCTCACCCTTTTGCCCACCCTGCCCTTTTGCCCACCCTGCCCTTTGCCCACCTCGCCCTCTACCACCTCGCCCCTCTCGCCCCTTTTGCCCACATCGCTGTCTCGCCCACATCGCTGTCTTGCCCGCCGTCTCACCCACCTCACCTGTCTTGCCCTCTGCTCCATCCCTCGCCCTAGCCAGCGCCCCTCCCTTTCAGCAGGGATGTGGGTTGCTTTTGCTTAGCACCCACCAACCAACACCAAGGACAAGTGCGAGCGCAAGGGGGGGAGCACAAGGAATGGAAGAGACAAGCAGGAGGAGCAGGAGGAGCAGGAGGAGGGGTGGAGAGGAGGACACCGAGCAAGACGACGCCGAAGCAAAAACAAGGGCAACTCCATGCCTGGCGCAAATGTGGCAGCAACATGAGCATGGCGACACGAGCATGGTGCCGACAGAGTACGGCCATAGCAGCAGGTGGCCCATGCACGACGGAATGACCGGGTACCCCCCAGAGCAGAAACGACACATCAGAGTGCATTGTTTCTGCTCATTATCTCTTTATTTCAGAGCAGGTGGCTGGTAGAGCCACCCGCACTGTGTATATATTTTATTTCAATTTAATATGATTTTTTCATATTTTTTTTCATGTGTTATAAGATACCCCCAGGCTCCCTGGACATCATGTCAGACACTGGCAAGAGTATTACAAGGGATGTGTCATTGTAATTACAATATTATCTAAAAATAGCTACGGGACCCGCAAAAAAGGCCGCATCATCCAGACACACCTGGCCCAATCCACCCAATCCCGCCCCCCGACAATGGGGGAAATGGTGCACAATGATGAGGAAATATGTTTCCTCATCGTTGGCACCTTTTCCCCATTGAAAATGGTGGCAGGAACACCGAAAACAATGAGGAACAATGCTCAGGCATTGTTTCCTGCGTTGTTTGCTTGTGTTGATAGGCCCTGCCCACAGCATTGAGCCCCAGCATCCACAGCAACGGCCTCTCCATGGGTGGACTGTATAATGACAGTCCTGACATGTGAGTATACCCTGTTTAAATACAGTATGTGATACATGTATGTGGCTTATAGAAGTGTATGCTTGCCATCATGGAGGAGAGGTGTCCTCAGATCTTCATAGACACTAAATTTATTTGCTTGGAGTCTTTTGTCCGTTCCTTCTTTCAGAGCATCCTGAATTGGACACCTCGCATGGCAACTCGTGCAGCTGCACACATTCCCACAGATGCAGATGATGTCTGTGAGTGCGCCTTCTTCCACCTTGTCTACACCATGAAATGGGAAAACATCCCGCCATGTCTCGTTGTCAATGTTGATCAGATGGGTATGTATGTTCTGCCTAGCAACTCCCGCACCTTTCATGATAAGGGGGCAAAGCAAGTTGATGCCATTGCAAAAGATGAGAAGCACGCTTACACTTTGCTTGTTGCAAGCATGCCCACTGGGAAGATTCTTCCGTTCCAACAGGTCTGGGGGAGTAAAACTTCTGCATCACTGCCAAAGCAAACTGCACCTGGTATGGTCAAGGCACAAGAATACAGGTTTGACTTTGCATTTGCAGCCAGCGAATCTAGTCCATGTAGCCATTTCAGCACACTCAAGACAATGATCGAGTGGATCAAGAATATTCTCGTTCCCTGGATCAAGCATGTCATCGAGGAGGATGGACTAGATGAAGATCAAAAGTCAATTCTTTATATTGACTGCTACCCCGTTCATGCTGAAGAAGGATTCAAGACCTACGTTTTGGACTCCCACCCAAACATCATTTTATGCTTTGTTCCTCAGAATTGCACTCCAGTATTCCAGCCTGCCGATGTTGGCCTTCAGCGGCCAATAAAGCACAGCCTCAAGCAGTCCCTTTTCAAATATCTCGCGGCTACGCATCGAAGGCAGATGTTATCCAGGTTGCATGCTGAAGATGTGCGCATTACCACATCGCTTCCTCAACTCCAGGACGCATCAGTTGGGGGGCTTGTTAAGGTCTATGAATATCTACAGACTCTTGATGGATGTGATCTCATAAAAAAGGTGGGCTTCACTTTCCATCTGTCCAAATTCAAATCCCAAATACCTTTATCTGTAGGCTTGGGCAAAGAGTCAGGCAAAAAACTGGTGCCTTTCTGAGCAATGCTTGACCAGCAAAGAAGCACATACAGCTTTAAAGGAATATCTATGACAGGATCCAGCCCTACATGATGAGATTCATGCACACATGGGAGCAGTTCTGGGGATTGAGACTGGTACAGTTCCCAAAGCAGAGATTGACCATGATGTTATGGATGATTGTGACATCCCAATTGAAGCTGTGGTTCAGGAAACTCTTCATGAGCCTGAGAGTGCACAGATCTCGACATCTGCCACATCAAGCCGAAGTTATCTTGTTCAGACTGTGGTGTGGACCAATGATGGGCTAGTGGCAGGTGGAGATGAGGAGGACATATGGGCATATAATGACAAAGGGGTAAAGTGGGGTGAAAACAGTGAATTACCATCAGAGTAGATACAGGAAGAAGAAAAATGTATTTTTGTTTGCATTTACCCATTTTTTAAGCCGCTTTTCAGGCTGTATCCCAAGTAGCAACAAAGGAGCCGTTATGCATTACATAACGGCAAATTAGCAACGCAATGACCCCTCCGTTATGTGTTACCATTGCTTCCATATGGAAAGGGACAGTATCTGCAAGCATGAGACAGGCAGTGCTGACACAAGTCACATACATGAAACCTGTACATTGCTTGGGCACATTTGTCTCTGCAAATCCAGCATTTTCTCCATCTGCATTACCTTGTATCCAACATAGATCGTCTCCATTTTGATGTCAGCTCATCCACCTTCAACAATACCCCAGCAGCTGCCCGGCTCAATTTAGCCTCATGTATACCACCACCACCCTGAACCTTGAGGCCCTTCTCAAGGCTAGCAAAGACCTTCCCAGCCCACTCTCCCAGACTCAATACCAGTGTTGTGTGCTCAAGGCCCATAATCTTCCCACCATCAATTTCCAACGCACCATCAAGAACAACAAGCGCCAACTCCAGCGCCGATATCAGCACTGATGCCTCTTTCTTCTGCGTCTCCTCCTCCAGGTCAATACCATCTTTCAGGTCCTCGTCGAGTTCCAGATGCGACACGGGCCGCGTGCCAATCGTGACTGCGAGCTCCAGCGAGTCCGGAGCGATGATTGCCAGCCACTCCGGCGCGTTCTGCGACGCGTTCACCAAAATCGCCAGAGTCCAAAGAAATTGCGCCAGGACGAGCGGGTTGAGGATGAGCCCGGTCCCAACGCCATAGTACCGGCCGCGACCTTCAAACAATGCTGTCCGCTCTTCCCTCGCTTGCTCGTCGCGCAGGAACATCCAAAAACGATTAATGAGCGGCATAACGAAGTACTCTGCGGCGACGTCGATGAATCTCGTTGCTGGCTTCTGGATAGGCGCTTGCATCTGGGCGAATGAGTTCAGAGGTCGTGTTACTTCTGTTACACCGCTTAGTTTCTGGATTCGCAATCGCCGTTCACGGATGACGCTGGGTTCGTTATCCACAGACGCCCTTGCGCCGTCTAACGCCTTCTTCGAGATATCGTCCATGAGGAGCGGAATGAGCTCGGTGTTCGCCTTACCAGCTGCGATATATTTCTGGTGGAGCGGGCCAGGGAGCATCTTACTCGGAAACGCCGTGCGCTCTGGAGGCAGCCGCGACGGTGAAACGTGCAACGAAGCCAACTCCCGTGCGCCGACTGCGAGGGCGTTCAATGCGACAAACCGCTGATCTGTCGAGTATTGATTCTTGAAGAATTCCTCAATGAGGCACCTGTTCGACACCCATAAATCTTCGGCTCGTGCAATGAGCCCTGAGGTACGTACGAAGTTGCCTTCCTCGGCGCGCATGCAACCAGCGCTGTCAGCGCACCCTGCCTCTTCTCTGCAAACCCCTCGAGCTCATAATTATCCTGCAAGCCCAACAGCGCATACACCAAATTAACCGCATTCTCATCTTCCATCCCTATCAGCATGCCACGCAAAACCTAAGAACAAAAAGGTTGACCCACCAAGCTCCGACCCATACCCGCTCTTCTTCCTGACCAGCTCCTCCGCGCAATTGAGCGCCATCTCAATCTTGTCTGCCTCGTGCGGCTCCTTCGTGCCCTGCTTGGGCGGCGCGCGGAGGAGGTCGCCCAGTTGCGCGAGGTACACAGGGCGCGGGACCTTCTGCACTCCGACGTTCAGCGTAGGATCCTTCTCAATCTCCGCGAGCTCAGACGGTGTAGGCGAGGCCGAGCGAGAGGACGGCGGAGACGCGTAACCTGTCATCGAGTCGTCCGAGTCGTATCCATCCTTCTCCACGAAGGTCGCTTTCGTCGCAAGCTCAGGCTCGGGCTTCTCTGCAACGGCTAGGCCCTCCTTCCCAGCAGGTGCTGCTACCTCCTCGACCTCTTCTTCCTTCTCTCTTTGAACGACCTCCAGCTTTGCATCCACATCCCTCGCCTTCATCAGCTCCCTTACCGCCCTCGCCCACACACCTATCGCGTCCTGCTCACCCCAACCACCAAACTCCAGCTTCTTACCACAAAGTCTCGCGACGTCTTCCGCGGCTAGCATCCCACACCGGCGCACCGAGGGGTCAAGGTGGGAAATATACATGCTGATGGCCTGGATGAAGCTCGGCATCGACACCAGGACGTCGACGTGCTGCGAGGAGGGCGGGAAATAGGAGACGGTTATGAGCAGGAGGGAGGTCATATCTGTCTCGATAGTTTTAGTTCATGTAATCGGACTTGAGGGTAAATTTAGATGCTTACACCGATGCCTCGAAAGCAGCGAATGCTTGATATGCTCCGGCGATGCCCATATTTCCACGACCGCCTCGAGGAACGCGTCAAGAGCTGCACTACCCGCATACATCAGCCCCTCCATCCCACCTTAACATAGCCTTTTTTTTTAACGTGCCTTTGAGATTCACCCTCGTCCCCTTCGCCCCACCTGACACCCAACACACAAATGTGCGCGCATACGACTCGGGCCACTCCCGACCTAGGATCAAGCTCGTCGCGATCTCCCACAACTCCGCCCTCTCCTGCTCCTCCTCTAGACCTTTCTCCTGCGGCGGAGCGACCTTCCCCACCAGCCCATCCAACAGGGCGGCATCGCGCTTCGCCAGCACGCGTTTTGCCTGGGATGTGTCCGTCGGCGGGTCGATTGTGCTGAGGGTGCCAAAGAGGGACGCGAGGATGGACTGGAGGGTCAGGCTTGGGAGTGCAAGGAGGAGTGCAGACCAGAATTTGGAGTAGGACGATGATTCGGGGGTGTCAAGCTCGAACCGCGCTCGGATCGCGGGGAGCGTAGCTTGGAAGAAAGACGGCTGGGATCGCGCGACGGGCTGCTTGGGCGGGAAGACGCCCAGGTTGACCAGCTTCTGTAAGAGGTACGCAAGTGCGGGTATCGCGTTTTTATCTACTCCCCAGTCAATATACCCCGGAAAACAACGAAACGAGATCGCGCAACATACCTTCCTTCGCCCCCGCCAGCGTCCGAACAAGCACCTCGCACCTCGCGCCCAACCTCCCAAAATACACCGCGTTCTCCAGGACGTCTGGCACCTCTCTCTTGCCCGCAATCGCGTTCGCCACCTTCGCAGGGACCATACACACGTTCCTTACACACTCCTCCCAGCCTACCTCTTCCAATCCCTTCCCTTTCCCTTTTGCCTTTCCCTTTTCCTTCGCCGCAGAGAAGACCGCCTTGTACATCCGATCCACCGGATACCCAACCACCAACTTCTCCAAAATCCCCAACGCAAACCCCGTGGTCCACTCGTTATTCTTCTGCAGCCCAATCCCAGGCGCGAGGACTGGCGACACCACGAGCGTCGCATACGCCTCTCTCGCCATGTCCCCCGCCTCCTGTCGGGCATTGACCATCGCGTCCGGGCAAAAATACTGGTCGAGCAACGCCTCCCCTCCTTCTAGATCCTCGCGCAGGGCGGCGCCCCATGTTGGGGCGATATGAGTGAGGGCGGCACGCTGGATGTGCGGTACGTGCTTGCTGACATTGAGAGAATGGGCAGGGAGCGGACGCGTGTTGTACCTCTTGAACCTGGGCGGGAGGATCCCGAGGGCGTCGAGCGGTGCTGTGAGCAGGCCGAGCAGCGTAGGCAGGTCAGCGATCGGGGATTGGAGGGCGGTGAGGAGCTCCTGGATTTGAGTGCGTGGGTCAGGCTCTTCCATTTTGTGTAGGTTTTGTGTTAGTGTTGAGTGAAGTAGTGAGAGGAGGACCGAAATGATGGTGGGTCATGGTCAAGAATGGGCGCTTCGGCAAAGTCGTAAATAGAGTCGAAAATATAATTGTTATTTCTACTCCCCGTTCCGAGACGAAGCAGTGCAATACTACAGATATAAGCAAAGCAAGAGATACGAGACACGATGGCAGACACACTATCCAGCTAAATACAAGTACATTTACGAAAGGGAATACTTCAAGCGCATAAATCAGACTCGAATAGATCAGACACGCTCGCTTAAGCCTCCGTCTTGGAGGCGGGCTTCGCCTTGGACGCAGGCTTCGCTTTGGACGCGGGTTTAGCCTTTGACGCGGGCTTGGTCTTGGTCGCAGCAGCCGCGGTAGTGGACTTGGACTTGGGCTTGGACGCAGGTTTTTTGGCCTCGCCAGTGACAGCCTACAAGTTCATGGCAAAGCATCAGCACCAGGTCAAACATACGGGCGCTCGCATACCTTCTTGGCCGCGCCCTTCTTCGCAGTGGACGTCTTCTTCGCGCCAGCAGCCGGTTTCTTCGCGGTGGCCACCTTCTTAGTCGTCGCAGTCCTCTTCTTCGGAGCAGCAGCCTTCTTTGGGGCCGGTTTCTTGTTGGTGGTGGACCCAGCAGCGGGTTTCGCCGCTTTGGGCTTGGCGGGGTCTGCCTTTGCAGCGCCTGGCTTCTTCACGGTGGTCGCTTTCGCTGTGGCGCGCTTCGCTTTGGTGGCAGGCTTGGTGGCAGCAGATTTCTTGGAAGCCGGTTTGGTGTTCTACATGCAGGATGACATCGGTATGGTGAGAACAAGAGTGGGATGTCTCACCTCCTTCGCAGCGTCCGTGAGTGGCTTGGCCTTGGACGCAAGCTTGAGCTTGCCCGAGGGACCTGCGTTGGACAAGGGAAGGATTGGGGTGAGCGTTGGACGAGCCACCTGAAGGGACACAAGGACAAACATACCTTTGGGGAGGAGGAAAAGGCCTTTCTCGTTGCCGTGGGCAATGGCGCGGTTGAGCTGGCCGAGGTGGGAGGCGTTGAAGTCGATGTGGTACTTTGTCTCGATGAACTAGTTGGAGAGGAAGGGGAGAAGCGGAGGGTGAGTGCGGGCAGGACGAGGGCACGAGGTTGCGTGCGGGGTACCTTCTTGATAGTGGGACGGGAAACGCCTGCACGAGCGTCTTCTGGGTGGGTGGTGATGGCTTCCTGCAGAGGATAGAATGAGGAAGGAGAGAGCAGAGGAGTTGAGGGCGGAATGGGTGGGCACCTTGATCATGTCGACCCACGGAGGGTGGGTGGCAGCAGCGGACTTGGAAGCAGTCGCATTGGCCTTGGAGGAGGCCTTGGAGGAGGCTTTCTTAAGAGCAGTAGGCATGAGAAGGTTGGAGACAGTTGTCATGCGGGAGGGGCAAGAGGATGGGGGGGAAGGGAGGAAGGACTGTGGATTCGGAACCCCCATCGCCCAATAGTCATCACGTGGGAGAGAGAGGTGCGCACGGACGCAGGAGCAGCCCAGCCAAAAAGAGCGCAGGTCAGAAAGGTGCCAGGGAGGGCAGGGAACAGGCAGGGGAGGTGGCGGAGGGTGTGCAGGAGTGTCGGCAAGAACGGCAGCGATCAGTGTCGAGGGAGGAGAGCGAGACGCGACTGGGAGGACGAGTGAGCAAGTCGTGCACGATTTGGCAGTAGAAAGCGCATACAGACGCGTCCGACACGCGACAGTATCTTCTACAAGCAGAGGGATCCTCTTTCTGAGCCATTTGAGCGCAAGATCGACCAGCAGCGGTGTCCAGAGAAAGTACACTGAGGGAGGAGAATCAAAGGCGACTGGGGTTAGCCGAGCATCCGGAACAATCCGGTCCGCCGTCTTTGCAGAGTCAACCCTGGTCTCTGCTTCTGACCCTCACAAGGGCCCACCATGCCCGCCATCTCAGACTACATGCAGACCGACGACCTCACCATCCTGCTCGCCCTCATTTCGGCCACCGTCTTTCTCCTCAACAACCTCTACAAACCACAGCCCCTCGTCCACCCCATCCTCCTCGGCAGGCAGAGCGATGTCGGCCGCGCACGCAACCCGACCGAGAGTGCTGTCTACAGGAACTACGGCACTGGCCTCATGGGCCGCGTACGTCCCTCTCTCCACCTCATCCCACCCCCAGCCCTAATCCATTCTCCAGTTCCCCCTCAGGCCGGGCAAGGACGTCCACATCCTCGCCGACTTTGTCAGGACAGAAGTAGACGCTCCCAGGACCCTCTGGTCCACCAAAGTGCGTTGACAAATCTTCCGATCCGCAGATTCTCACCGTGTCATCCCAGTTGACGAACAGCGCCCTGCAAGACCGCGCTGCAGCACTCGGCACAGGCCTCATCCGCCTCGCGCGTCTCCAGCCCGGCAGGTCAAAGGTCCTGCTGCTGCTCAACGACTGCCTCGGTGCGTCCAACCACCCCAATCACACCACTTTACTCATCCGCTCCACCCACAGAATTCGTCGTCGCCGACCTCGCTCTCGCTTCGCACTCCATCACATCTCTCACGCTCTCCTCTCCCAACCTCCTTACCCCCGTCCTCGAAGCCCACCCACCCTCGGCCATCATCACCCATGCCTTCCTCCTGCCCCAGCTTCTCGAGCACATCTACGACTCGGGCGACCGCAAGGCTGAGCATGTCATCGTCGTGGTGGGCGAGCCGACCACGCAGGCAATGGCTAGTGTGGCTAGCAACGTCAAGGTCCTCCATTACGTCGATATCGAAAGGGAGGGCGTCAAGGTTGAGAAGATTCTGAGCCCGGTTCCAAGTCCGTATCTTGTTGTCTTTAACTACAGTTACTGAACATCATCCAGGCCCCAACGACGTCTTTACCATCTCATTCTACGAAGACGCCGCAGGCCACGTCCAAGGTGCCCAGCTGACCCACGAGAACATCACTGCCGGGGTCGCCGCCGTGCGGGCCCTCTTCCCCGTCTCGCATGCCCTCTCCTCTCTGGACACCATCGCGTCCGCGCAGTCCATGAACACAGCCTACGGGCGCGCGATCGCGTACACGGCCATCTACGAAGGCACATCGTTCGCGTCCATCGCCAGCTCCGAGATCTACCATAAAGACGAAAGTACGTCTCCATCCCCTCCTCCTACCTCATCTCATAAACCCTCCTTGCAGAGGACATCAAACCAGAAACCGCCGAAACGCTCGCCACGCGCAAGTACCCCATCCCCTCGCCGACGATCCTGTTCCTCAAGCCCGGCCACCTGCGCTCGCTCGTCTCGGGCATCACCCGCGAGGCGAAGCAGTCGTGGCTCCTGCACGCATTCGGGTGGCGGCACAAGCTCGCAGGGGTCGCTGACGGGTTCGTCACGAATCAGAGCCTGTGGGATCGGCTTTTGTTCGACGGTGCAAGGGCGAAGGTGCTTGGAAATGTGGGGGCGACGGTACGGGCTGTTGTTGTTAGTGGTGGTGCGTTGGTTCCTTTTCGTTTCCTCCTACGTCTCAATTAAATGGATTTCGTATACAGGCAACGTAGAAAATTCCGCCCTCACCCCCGCCCGCATCGCCCTCTCCGTCCCCCTCGTCAACGCATTCACACACCCCCTCTCCACCGCGCCCGTCCTCGCCTCACACCCTCTCGACCTGCAAGACTTCCCTTCCCTCTCCTCCGTTTCCTCTTCTCCCTCTTCCTCCCCTCAACCCCCACCAGCACACACCGGCCCCCCAGGTGTGAACGTCGAAGTCAAGCTCGTAGGCGTAGACGACGAGGCCGTCGAGGCGGGCGGCGACCCCACCGGCCGGCTGCTCGTGCGCGGGCCGCCGATCGGGAAGGTCCTCGGGTTGGAAGACTATGTAGATGTGATGGGGTTGAGCGTCGGGCCTGGCGGCGGAGCTGGAGGGAATACGACCGGAGGGGCAAGTGGAGGGCCAGGAGTGAATGGCAGTGGGGCGGAAGGAGGAGATGGGTGGACGGACACGGAAGTCGTCGCACGTGTGATGAGTAATGGCGCATTTGTGCTTGTTGGGAGCGTCGGCGCGGGCAAGTCGTAATGCCATGTTGAATAATATATAGACTCTTAGTGTGCAGTGTTCGTGTATCTTGCTGTCTTGACCAAAAGTTGAATGAATCGAGCTATACTTATTCCTAGACCGTTGACTTTGTGATTAGGAGCAAAGTTAGTAAGCATCCTAGAGCATGAAACTCTACCAAGTATGTTTTACGTATAGATATTGAATTGAGCACGAATGATAGCCAGGTGGCTCCATGTACGCCACACAATTTCCACTTTCGACCATAAACATTCCGCCTAGACAATTTCAGCCAGGCACCCGACGATCAGGGGTCATTTTGCTTCCATTTCGGCCCTGAACACTCACATCACACTCCCCGAATCTTCACAGCACAGCGTGAATTAAGTTCCAACCCATTACAAGAGATCCGTAGTCTACTCTAATACAATAATAAGATAATGAATAATTTACTTGTATTTCATCCCACCACCAGCCGCGAATTTACATGACGACGCAGGAAGGGCACCACCTGTCCTTCTTCTTGGACGACTTGTGTTGGGTGACCTCCTCGACAGTCAGGGTGCCCAGTGCGGCTTTACCGACGAAGGCGGCTTGGTAGATCATGTTGCCATTGGCGCTTAGGGCGGGTTGCATGCGAGCGCCGTCTGCGTTAATAAGTGTTGAGCGAAAGGGGGGAGGGTAGGGTGTAGACCAGAACTTACGACCAACAGAGACGGGACCCTCGACGATATCATAGTGCGCGCCTTTGCCTCTGTAGCTAGCATCGACGAACTGTAGCAAGTTATGATCAGCATCCGAGAAAAGTGTACCAAGAATCAGAAATAGCGACGTACTGCTTTCCATTCAGGCGTCCCAGTCAAGAAACTCTTCGTCCTCAGCTGCTTATTCGGCGTGTACCTGAACTTGACCAAGTAATAGATCTGCTGCTTCGGGTCCGGCGCCACCCCCGAGAACGAGTCGCCCCATTGCTTCGCCTCGTTCAGGTCCTATAAATTCATTCCCGCTCATAAGCACCTCAATCCAACAAGGCTGGAAGGAGACGAAACCTACGTGGAAGACATACAACGCCCCATCATGCGCAAAGTCACCCGGAACATGCAAATAATCCTTCGGGCTTTTGCCCTTGGGGTAGTTCCCAATATGCGCCAGCTCCCCGCGTGTGACCGCACGCCAAAACGTCGTGCTGCCGCTAATGTGCGACACCAGCGACGGGGCGCGCTTCTCCAGGAGCTCTGACTCTGCACCGCCATTAACAGGAGCAGCGGAGACGCTCGTGACGGAGAGGAGGGAGACGGCTGCGGTGAGCGCGGTGGTGAAGATCGATGAGAATTTCATGGCGAGGCGTGAGTGTCGTTATATATCGAACTAGCGTAGAGTAGAGAGGTGAAGGGGACCGGCCCTTGAAAGGAGGAGGAACTTGGGTGTAAAGAGACCAGCTCTGGAGGAAGTGCGGTGAGCACTGGCAACCTTTTATACCGCGGCTGGAGAAGCCGCGACGCGACATGGGCGCTGTTTTGGTGTCTAGATGTGGGAGAAATCATGTATGAGGGGCGGCAATCCCCATTGCTAGGGTCGGCGCTTATTGTGATCCATCAGTCAATGCGCCGCACATCACGGAGAGCGCCACTGACATCCCTTCTGCCGAGTGACCCGAACCGTGAACCAGTGAATCGGAGACAATAAAGACATAAAAATTACTTTATTCTAGCAGCCTGTAGCTGTGAGACAAATATTAAGCCCTAACGTCGAACGAAATTCTCGGTTGCGTCACGCCTTGGTGATGCCGTGAGGTCAGTTAGAGCTCCGCTGAGACAGGACACTGAATTGACGTATTGAACCTGGTTGCTTGAAACACTAGCGCTCGATGTGCCAGACCGAACTCCCCTACTGACGCCGCCTTCAATCAAGCTGCTTTGAGCAACAAATGGCCGAAATTCGCAGTGCAGTGACTCATCGACGACGATTACGCACCACCACAATCAACGACGATGTCACGACGTGTCACTTTTGTACTTTAGACGCAACGACGAAGTCGGACGTGGCTTGTCCTTGCACACCAGATTACCTCCTACATTGAATGTTTAGCAGCCTCTTGATAAGAATGGGTGAGTTCTCTCGTTTCCCAGTGGCCTCAGATATTGACTTCGCGATGGAATCCTCAGGTATCACGAGCAAACCATCAAACATTGCGCTCTGGGGACCCGACGTCTCTGAGATAACTGTGCGTCGCGTTCTGGAGACTCGATTTGTGGTCCACATTGACATCGAACCCTCGACAGACACTCGTCCACACGCTTAAGGCCGGCAAATACACGCAAGGCAGCGCGTCTATCCATCCCTGTCCGTCTTCTATGCTCCTCCCACGAACGAGATTATCTGACCTCTTGCTTGTGCAGTCAACGAGGAAATTACAGTCGGGGAGAAGACTTTCGTTGCCGCCATCCCCAGTGGTAACGAAGGGGGTATGTCTATCGTCCTACCTTCCACCTTTACTCCTCTGAGCGAGATTCATGCAGCTCGTCGTTCCCACCGCCAATCCCTGACCGACTACGACAGCATCGTCTATGTAGTCGACCCCACCGACGCTGACTCCCTCTCCACGTCGAAAGAGGAGCTCAACCGCGTCCTCGCTGATGAAGCCCTTACGAAACCCATCCTCGTCTTAATATCCAAACCGGACGCCTCGGGCGTTGCCAACGAGGGAAGTCTAGTACAGGAATTGGGGCTGGAACAGGCTGTTGAGAAAGCTGATGGGCGCGTCGGCGTGTTCGCTTATTCCCTCTCGCCGGAGAAGAGCAAAGGGTTCGAGGAAGGTGCGTAAATTCCGAGGGTTACTTTTCTGGAAAAGAGTCTCACACATGACTGTGATGTAGGTTTCCGTTGGCTCTTGCAGTCGTTTTAAATCGTAATTCGTACGCCCTAAAGGCGAATGTGTTTATTTTTTTTTTTTTACCCACAACAACGTGCAACCCGTCGATGAGGGAGGTGATTTCTGCCCTCTCAATGAAGGTGCTAGGTGTAAGACTGGTTGACCAGAATCTCTGTACGGACTACGTATGCACGGAGGAGACTGGACGCGAGGATTGACTCCGGTTGATGTGTCCTACAGAAAAGCTCCGCCTCGCGAACATGATACAGAAATTATCCTCGCTGATCAACGGGTTCATCCCTGTCCACCTGGCACCATCTGCAGAAACCCAGGCACTTGCATCACACGACTATCCTGCTCGACGCAAAACGCCTGAACTGCGGCGCGAACTTCCGCGTCTAACTCGAATGCTCACACAAGAAAAATCGTGCTACCCAAGCTCAGCTTGGGGTGAATTATTCCAAGTTCCAACCATTACAAAGGGTATCAAGTACCATCTACCTGATGTTGCACTCAGGGCCCTCTGCTTGCTCTTGGAGGACTTGAACTGGGTGACTTCCTCGACGACAAGGATACCCAGGGCGTCTTGCTGAACGCGGCTTGGTAGACCATCTTGCGGCTGGTGACCGCGGGCTCCAGGCGAGCGCCGTCTACATCAGAAGAGGATATTCAGCCCAGAACTTCAACGACACGACAACCGAGAAAGCTTACGTCCAACGGAGACAGGACCTTCCACGATGTCGTACTTGTTCTTTAAATTGTAGCTAGCCTCAACAAAAGCCTTCCACTCAGGAGTGCCCGTTGTGAAACTACTCTATCCACGTACTTATATGCAATGCAAGTTGGAACTTCAAAGACAATTGAAGCTTACGTCTTAGTCTTCAACTTCTTGTTCGGCGTATACCTGAGTTTGTCGAATATGATTATACCTATAAAGCATTTACTACCTGCCATTCTTCTTCTTTCTGCAGAGCTCTCATTGAAAAAATGGGAGCCCTGAGCAGTGCACATCCACGACTAGAAGAGTGTGGCGCGTCAGGTCTCGTCAAGTAAACATTTCCTTGTACAGGCAGATCTATGAATTACAAGAGAGAGGGACAAATTCATAGTAACGCCAGCTTATCATAATGACTAGTAACTCGACGGAAAGAAAGGAGCATGGGATAACAGAAAAGACAGCAGTCAATAAGATTAGGGAGGCTAGAAAATCATGGAAAGGTTACTGAGCAATAGCAAACTAACAAAGCAGAAGTGATCTAATGCTATTAATACACGACAAGTACATTGTATGTAGTTTTCTGTTAGATTAGAGAGACAGGCTTGTGGTAGATGTAACATGTGGTGTCGAGATCATGGCGAACGGGCGTACGGATTCAATCCAGGACGACTCAGTGCGATAACGGTGTAGGCCGCGTTACCGCTTTTCGAAGGCGAAGGCGATGTAAATGTCTATAACGTTGTGCATTATTAACCACCGACTAATGGATGAACAGGGAGGGACATACTCGCAGCCTCCCACTGATCCTCGTCCATCGCGCTCGCGCCATCGTTGTCAACCACTTTCATGCGAACAAGAAGAGGTTTGAATTCGTGGTGGTCTTGATTCTCGGAGAATACTTGATGGAACTCTTCCTTGTAGATGGCGTGTAGACCATATTCTGCTGCCAGCCTGACGTGAAAAGGTGTAAGCGTCGGGCTTTACGGTGAAAGAAAGAGGAAGAGGAAAGCAAGACAAGCCAAAATGTCATTGAAAGGGTAAGCAAACGTGCCATTCCGAAGAGCTCGAGAAGCGGGGAAACAGAACGACCCAATAGATGGAATGTCCGAGATGAACACGGAAGGCTGCGAAATCTACCGCACAAGCAGACGACCTGGGGGGGGGTGCTGGAAGCCGAGCACGCTGGTGTGGGCACAGAAGCGTGTTTGGTGTGACACCGAAGAAGCACGGAGAAGACAGTCGACGCCGCTCCCCTGATCTGCGATACCAACGCCGCAAGGAGAGAAGGAAGGAAGGCACGAAAGGAAAGGACAGACGGGGAAAACATGGGAGCAGGTTCCATTAAGTGGTAGGAAAACCATACATACTGAACAAAATTATCCCACCGCACGATATACTCAGGGACATTTTCGACAGCATCTTTTAGGAAGAACCAATATTTCTGGCCAAACATAGGTCGCACGTCGCGACTTTCAAAGGTTATCCTGTAGATACTGTTGCCGAAAGAAATGTCTTTAGAGTCTGGGGGGATAGCATCTAGGTGTTCTCTATGTTTATGTGAGCGAGGAGGTCCAGCGAGAAGGAAGGAAAATGGACGAACTTACAGCAGCAGTTCAGAGTTGGGTATTGTACCAATGAAGACTCCACCTGTTCGTAGATATCGACTTACGTTGTCGAGCATACAGCGCGCTTTTTGCAAGCTTTCGAACGCATAGTGCATGCAGAACTGCATGGACACTACGTCGAAAGGTTGGGCTAGCTTGGCGGGTGCAAATGCTTTGGAAAGAGGTTCTGTATAGCAGTCTAGAGCTGCGAACGTGGCATCGAAGCGAGGACCTCGCAGCCCTTCCCACCGATTCCGCGCTTGATTGACAGACACAGCAGCGATGTCTGCGAAAGGTCAGCAAGGGACGGTGCTCGAAGACGGATGAAGCGTACCGGCAGCCAGAAGTTCTTTGACAGAGGCCTTGGCCCACTTGGTTATGTCGCCTCCTTTGCCACAACCCATATCAAGAACCTTGCCTCGCGCTCTACCCCGACCTTCACTTCTGACGGCGCTTGTCTCAAGCGCCGGATGAGCGTAGCGCGTTATCAGCACAGATTTCACCCAATTGTTGAAATTTTTGAGGCCAATTATGGGTGAGTCCTGTCGCTGGACGACACCAATCTCGGGACGTGAGTTGTCTGCAGGGCGGTTTACATTTGTGTGTGGTGAGCGAGACAGGTGGTAGGAATAAACTCACAGTGTTCCACAACAACGCCAACATCTCCCATATGCCTCTTCGCAGATCGAATATCCACAGGGTCAGGCTCTTGACTTGCTCCGCGCTTGCGTTTGGCCGTGAGGCGTGCTGCGCCCTGGCCGCGGTAGTTCTTGTACATGTCCATCTCCTGGGGTGAGAGCGGGATGAGGACGGAGTCTGCCTTCGTTATGCGTTTCGTCGGGTTGTATGGGAGGTTGCTGGGAGGTCGGATCGCCGGCGAGGCGGAGGATCTGGCCGAGGACGAAGAAGGGCGGGGAGATTCAACGATGGATTGTCTTCTGGATGTGGGCGGAGATATGTAGTTGATGTCCATTGAAGAACGGCGAATGGGCTCAAAACTGGCTAGTGTGTCGTCGCTGTCGGAATGGAGGAGGGAGTGTATAGATGAGGGGCGTGGGTGGGGCGGGGGATGGTCGTTGTCGTCGTTGAGGAGCACGGAGAGATGGGTGGCTCTGCGGGCGAGCTGTGGAGATCCTGTCAGCGGTGTTCTGGCAAAATGGGGTCCGGGGGAGTCGACGGGTGAATTGAGGACAGCATCGCGCACTGGATCAAACGCTGGCATTTCAGAAAGAAAAGGGAAAAGCTAAATCATTCAACGATTCATTATTCCTGCTACACTACTGCTGATGTAATCACTTTACACGCGCCGCTCAAGCCACCCCTTCAGATCCTCCGTCGAGCGCTGCACACTCCTCAGTAGGCGCCCACAAGCACGGATCGAACGACTTACCTCAACATACGCTGCCCGGGCCCGGATCGTGTCCAGTGTCTGCGCGAGGGCCTGATTATATTTAGACGTGTCCTTGTCCTGTGTGCATCAACACTTGTCAGCTGCTGGGAACATCACTCCTATCACCTCGCCCACCTTGAAGAACGCTTCGATCGCAGCGTAGTCCTCCTGGCTCGAGTAGTAGTCCGATGAGAACTGGCCCCGCTGTCAGACCCCGTCAAATGACCACCAGAACACACGTACTGTGACCAAGTAGTGGAGGGAAAAGTTGCCCTCGAAGCGTTTATACAGCTGCCCAGCCTCCATTCAGAACACCGCTTGCATCATAGATCAGCCTACATTCACTCACAACGTCATACTCGTCCTGGAAATATTTCGTCAACAGCCTCCGCGTCTTAAAGTTGCTTCCGAGGCCGCTAAAGAAGTAGAAGATGTCTTGATCCTTTGCCTTAGTTGAGATAAACTTGAGGGTCTCCTGTGCCAATTCAGGGTCTTGGGTTGCTCCCATAGCAGCACTGCAGTTGCCTTTATTGGCTGTGAATGGCCTCGTGCTTGGAGTCACTCACATGGCCGAGATCCTCTCCGATGGGGTCTTGGGCTTGTCATGAGCCTTGACAATTGCATCGTACTCCGCCCGACCACCATGCCTGACAGCCTGCACAAACATCGTCGGCGTGTGAGCAGCTAGCCATTTTGTCAAACCAAACGATGCCTACCACCGCGAAAGTAACACGCTGCAAATCAGATGGAATCTTTGAGTCGTCGCCAGTGTCCATGAAGTGCTCAAAGCGACTCTGGAGCTCTTTGACCACTCTGGGTGCTGCTGTTAGAACACAAGGTCATATGTCGGGGGTAATCTCATACCCTTCGTCACGAGCCGCAGAAGCCTGGGTAACCGCAAGCGTCCTCAGAAGAGAAATGTCCCTCGATTCCCCGGCAGGATACTCGTACCCGAGTTTGTTCACCAAAGGAACAAAGAGGGCCTAGAAACAAAGGAAACAGAGCTCACTGTCAGCGAAACTGGAAAGGCTTTCAACCGCAACAAGGTATCTTACACGACGGAATGCGTTCAGTTGATCGATGATCTTGGGGTGCTCCCACCAGATGGACACCAGCCCGGCAAGGCTTTCTCCGATACCTTGCCAGACGAGGTACTCCTTCTCGTTCTTCCAGAGATTAACGAGCGTCAAGGCACTGCTGAGGTCAGCCAACCCTGCCTTGGATAACGCCAACGCGTCGTGGACGAGCCCGATTCTGTCATCCAGGGAGAAGATTGAGTCCTCCTTGGCGGCCTCAGCTGCAATGAGGGCGAGCCTCTCAGGTGTGTACAGCACACGGTCTATAAAGCACGATCAGCAGACAAGACACGATAAAGGAGGAAGTTTCCACGAACAAACGCCGGTGGTTCCGCCATTCAACTTGAATGGCTTGCTGGTGTCGAGAGGAATGAACTTCTCCCTCTCCTCGAGGATGGCACTGGTGTCTACAACAGCTTTGTCGTCCTCTGCCGTAACGAGGCTCAAAGGAACATTCCAGACAGCTTCGTTATCCTTGGGGTCTGCCGCTCCAGTTTCCAAGAAGCGATCCTGGCGGACAACAATGCCCCTCTCGTTTTCAGTAACCGTTAGGACAGGGAAGCCGATCTTCGTGATCCAGTTCTCCATGAGGGCAGTGATGTTATGTCCTGTCGACTCGCTGATGCCCTCCCACAGGTCGTGCGTGACGCTGTTGGCGAATAGTTTCTTCTTGAGGTAGAGAGAAACACCCTTGAGGAACTTCTCTTCGCCGACGTAGCTGGAAAGCATGCGAAGAACTGAAGCAGCTTTGGAGTACGACAGCGCATCGAAGATCTGCGTAGCGTGATTAACGGCGAATCGGGACACTACCAGGAAAGCAGGCATACCTGGTTAATGTGGTTAGCATCGGGGCAATCGACCTCGATGGGGTGGGAAGAGAGTTTAGCATCTAAGCTTAGGGCCCGGTTAAGATGTTCGGTAATAAATTCTGAGTTGACACGCCACTCCGGGAAGACTCGGTCTAAACAGAAATTTAGTAATGTAAGGATTTAGATATTCTTCATTGTCATATACCAGGGATAATGACCTCTCCCATCTGATGCAAACGTTTCAGCATCGGATTGAAAGAATAGCGACATCGCGCTTACCAAAGTCGCAAAACCTTCATTAAGATAAAGGTAATTCCACCACTCCATGGTCGTAATATTGCCAAACCTACATCGTCCATCAATGGCAACAACAAGCTAGATTCAGGGAATGTTCCTACCACATATGCGCGACTTCATGGCTTTGGACTGAGGCAACACGTTTCTTAGCTTGCAAATCACCTCGTTCGGGGTCGAGTAAGAAAACGCTCGTCCTGCCAGTAATGAGGCCCCAATTCTCCATGGCACCAGCATCGAAATCGCTCGCCTGTGAAATCAGGTAAACCTCATCCTAAATCGAGACAACTTGAGGCACGCACCACCAGGGTGTCCAACTTCGGAAGGGGGTACTCGACGTCGAAGATCCTCTCATACAGAGGCAAGACGGCCTTCTTCACATCGAGGGCGAACTGTGCTTGATGGATGACGTCCGGAGTCGCTAAGTCCGAAAGTTAGCAGATGTCGGCTGTAAAAGCGTGAATCTGTACTAACTGTAAATGCGAAGAGGAACGATCTTCTTGCTCAAGGGCATCTCAACAGAATCCTCCAGGAACTCAAAGTGCCCGTTTGCAAAGGCCACGATGTAGGTCGACATCGGAGGCGTCTTCTCAAATTTGGTGATCTTCCATTTCTCGTTCTGCGTGTCCGCAAGTAGCTCGGTGAGATCTGAAGGGGCATTCACGTCCTGCTCAAGGACTTCCTCGGATATTGCGGGCATGTTGCTCAAGCTGACTGTATCGGCGCGCGAGATCATAGTAACAGAGAAAGTTGATTTGAGAAGGGGCTCATCCCAGCAAGGAAAGGCACGTCGGGCGGCAGTAGGCTGTTGAAGATGAGCATTAGTGACGCAAGAGAAGCGAGATTGCGTACCTCGAACTGAGTGAGTGCATAATGCTTCGTCTTGCCCTCATGCTCCCAAGAAGACTTGTAGTATCCCATCATGTTTCCGGTAAGTTCTCCAGAGAACGCGATCTTGAGTTCGGCCTTGGAACCGGCAGGAAGATTTTGAGTCAACTGGAAAGTGGTGCGTTCCTGAGTTTTGTCGAAAGAGGAAACAGTTGGCGCCTGCTCAGCACTCAAGGCATTAGAGTAGAGTGTACTGAAAGAAATTCTAAGCCTTGTCTGTGTCCCTGAGACAGAAGAAGAGACATACGCTGCACCAAGCTCCAGATTAGATGTGTTGAGAACGATGGCAGATGTTCCAGCATTAACATCAAGGCTAACGACGCAGGTTAGGAATATAGTGAGGGATTGAAGAGCTCCTTGCTCACGAGATATTGACTAGACCTCTGAAAGTGAGTTTCTCGAGGTCTGTCTTAATGGTGACGTCGTAGTGGGTGGCTTTAACATTGGTGGGGAGCCGATATTGGTCGGAGTCACCAGAGGGGGCAGGGGCTGTCATCGCGGACGTGTTTGAAGGACTGAAGGTTGCCGATGAGATAGATGTGGAAGAGTGAGAGGAGCAGAGTCTGGAAATGAGATAACGGAAGTTGGCGGATTTGGATCGCCAGGAAGGGAACTTTTGAGTGACTGGCGTGAGCGACGTCCATGTGCTGCGTTGAAGACCCGCCCGACAGAAACCCCTTGCATGGCAAGCTATTCTGGGCTGCACATGCACGCGCAGCTGCGTTCCGTATGCATTGAGAGCAAAAGCGCCTTGGGGCCACCGACAGACGCGTTGCTGGACGCGTAGGGTGTTGGTCAACATGCAGTCTCGTTTAGTGTGCCGGCGGCAAAATCACCGGCTTGCTCAGGGCCCGGGACTGTGCTGATCCTGGGACTCGAGCGGTTCTCTTCGACATACATCGCTTTCTAGCACCAAAATAATGCAATCGAGTGGAGGTTGAATATTACATCGTACTGTGCGTTCACATGCTGTTGGAGTTCCTTGGATTCCAGATGACTGATGGAGGCGTTCGAAACAGAACTAATTTTATTGGCTACATGTATGTACAAGTCTTCACATGCGATCTGTTCTTGACTCGTCGACTCGCACAGCATGACAGAAATAAGCTACACTAGAACTTGTAGAGAACTCCGAAAGGCATGGCGGTTTTTACTGGATCAAGCAATACAGCCAGTTAAACGCGCATAGTAAGCAGCTACTTGAAGGAAAGAGAGACAGCAGCCAGTCCAGAAGAGTCCCGATGTCGTGTAGTCGCGTCGTCCGAGAGTGTGTAAACAGCAAAACAAATGAAGGAGACAGTCATCATCAGGTTCGAAGAGTCGGATTCATCAGGATAGGAGGCAGTTTCGGAGCTAGAGTCGTCGAGAAATGTTTAGCAAGGGTACGTCTCCTGCGATCTGTGAGGATATCTTTGTAGCACTGCGCCAGCTGTTCACTCGATTTCTGAAAGTTGACGACGGAGCTGAAAATGTTAGATATGTGCCTAACATGTTCGTGTTCAAGGTCGACCATGTTGTTGTAATGGTGAATGCTGGGGCAATATCAACGGTCAGTGTAAGAACGCTTGACATAGAATCCGAGGGAAAAAACCTTTCATGACACATTTCCTGGAGAGTGTCTGCAGTTCCTTGTATGATGATTTTTTGTCCGTGATTTAATTCATAAGAAAATCCGTCGACACGGCGCACAATGCGGTCAATGAGAGTCTGAAAAGTGTTATCACCGAAGAAAACAGGCTGAGGTCGCGCCATACCTCATTGATGCGGTTGAGAACCTGAAATGGCCCAGTTTCTCAGAAATGCTTGAGGAGATGTAAAGATATAGAATTACCTCAACTATTCGGTCCATTGGCGGCTCTTCAGGCTTAGGAGGTTGCTGTCGGTAATATCTGTAATTTACCTTGGGTTCAAGTGGAGAGCGAGAATTCCTGACTTCCGGCTTGTTTCGTGAGTGGTGAGGACGAGGTTCATGTATTTCCTTATGGTTGCGGGCCTCGTATTCATGACGCGGGCGACGAAGAGAAGTACCCTCGTTAGAAGTTTTGGCTCTGCCGCTCCACTTTTCTTGAGGGTAATTTGAAAAAGGATGCGCAGCCATTCGTTCCAATGACTGTGGTGAGTGCGTCTGTTCGGATGGATCCGGCCACTGGGTTTCGACCTCGGGTCTCACAATAACGACGGGAGAGGGTGGTGGTCGCAGAGGTGTAGACGGATTCCTTTTCGGGACACTCCTTTCCGCAATGTTACGGTTTTGAGGAGCCTGCATAGTCTTCGCAGCTGTAGACGGAAGTCTTTCAGGTTTGTTGACATTCTCCGACTCCTTTGGTTCCCTGACTTTCTGCTGCATGATAAGATTCGGGGGCTCCTGGAGTGGTTTGTGCTTCTCTTCTTTTATTTGATGCAGAGTCTCGATGGGTTGGCCTTTAGGAATAGGTTTCGTCGGGCGGATAGTTGCTTGCTTATCTTGACGAGCTTGTTGGGGCGATTCCTTGGTCAAATCAATTACTTCGTTGTCGTGGGCTAGCCCATCCGATGTGCCGGTTATAGCTTCCTCTTGAGAAGAGTTGGTGCCACCCTACTTGAAAGTCGAGAATTGAACAGTAAATACGAAATATATCCTCACCTTCAGGGGCACGAGAATATCAGTATAGGCAGGGGGCTCATAGATGTCTTCGTCGTCATTGCAAAACGTTTCCGCTTCGTCTGGGTGGAGGCCGCTGGCAGGATCGGAGTGTCCATTCGATGTCGACGAAGCTGGCTCCTCGGCAATTGAGCCTACGACAGCAGGTTCAAGCACTTGCTTGGTTTTCTCCATGAAACTGTCTCGCTGCCACGGTGCGGTGCTTGGTTTCTTGTTCATGGCTTTGTCCTTGTTTTCGCTTTTTAGCTTGGACTGAGCAGAAGCCCGTGCTGTAGTGTCTCTGACGGAACGCCCGTTGGGTTTGACGTCGTGCATTTTGACAGCGTCATCTTTGCTAGGCTGCAGAACGGATGAGATTTAGAGACAATTCGTAAGTATGTTGGCAATAGGACTTAAAACGTACCGAGTTACTGATGTCAACAAGGGTGTCGTCTGCAACATCGTCAATCCTAGTTGCGCGTCGCCTCTGAACGACGGGCTTGACGTCAACATAGTAGGGCGACTCTTTCTTCGGAACGGGAGCGCGTTTCCGTTGAGGCCTAGCGACCATCTTTCCGTTCTTGCCCTTCATGGCGGTTGCACGAGGCTTTGGGACGGGCTTTGGCAATTCCGTTACGTCGTCGACATATAGCGCCGACGGTTCAACCTTCGGCACTTCATCGAAGTCCACATCAGCAGCAGTTTGAGGCGATGTCGTCCGGTCCTTGCGCCGGCCGTATTTTTTGCCATGAAAGGGTCGAAGAGAATGAGCAGGATCATCGACGCGGGCACGCTTTGAGCGTTCTGCGTCGATTGCAGCCCCATTTGTACCCTCATCCTCCAGAGCTGCAGCTTTGCGTTTGTTGGTCTTCTTCATCGCGTCGCTGGTTTCTTTGACGGAAGAAATACGAACGCGTGCCTTAGGTGGTTTTGATATTTCTTCGTTTTCCTTTCCCTTGCTTTGGGCCTCAGCTTCTTTTCCTTTGCTCGTCGCAGAAGAATCTTGACGGCTCTTCGTGGGGACAGATTGTTCCCTCTCTTCTTCTTCTCCCTCCTCCTCTTCGTCGGACACCAAAATGACTTTCTTGTTGGAACGATGAACTCGCGACTTGGGTTGAGGTATCTCGCCTTCTGATAGTAAACCAACAGATTCCTCGCGTCTGCGTGGCGCAGTATAGCTGTCCGTTTCAGGAGGGTCGTCGTGAATTTGGGACCTTTCGACTGCTGGCTCTCTGGGTGGATGCAAGGAAAGATTGCCTTCAGGGTCCAAAAATACAGTTGAAGGCCCATCATTGCCTCCTCGATGGGCACCATATTCGCGAAAGGCTTTTTCATCGCGATCAGTCTCCGACACTTGCCCAGCCAATGAAAGGAGGGGGGAAGTAGGCCTGTTATCAAGTTCCGGCATGGCCCAGACTATCATGAACTCAGTAAAGTGGATGGGGGCTTCTTAGGTTTGTGATACGCACGCTGGGAGAGACTCTGAACCTTCTGCTACAGAGCGAGGAGTGCATCAGTATGGCGTTGACAAAAGGTCTAAAGAGACATACTTCTGCCGACGCTCGAGTCTCCTTGTCAGAAGTCATATTTAAGTCAACACCTGCAGCCTTCGATAATTTCTTGTGCATTATAGGTCCAGTCTCCTGATGCAGCCCGAGAGTCAGCTATCGCCAACCTATGATGGTGGCCTTTACTTACGATGCCGCGATTCCTCAACGCCTTTCTGAAGTTGCTGATGGTCGATGGACTGATTTTGCAAGTCACCAGGACTTGGTCGTTGACAGCAGTTGAAATAGGATCTTTTCCCAGGATCGGAGCTTCACCAATCTTCAAAGTCACTTGCACATTTTCGTTAATTGGTGCTGAGGTCGCAATATGAATAAAAGCAGAAAAAGGGATGCGCAAAGTCTCCAACCCTCCATCCTTCATATCCATTAGTGGGGAAGATGGATCATAGAATGTAAGAGCTTACACGGTCGATGTTCGCCAGCAACCCTTTCTGGTCCACAAAGAGCATCCCCGACGAAACAACGGGCTCGGCATTGACTCGGAGGTCGGTAAAATGGAATGGCTGGGGACTGGAACTATCCTTAGCAATGATAGTGGATACCGAGCAAAAAGGTCGTACAAGGAAAGATCAGAGCTGGCTAAAGATTTGATGATCTTTGCAGAGGTGGCGCTCCATTCAGGGCTACTCAACGTCTGCAAATGTTCCACGATTTCGCGAAAGTTGCTGAACAGACCCGGGTCAAAAACCTCCTCAATGAATCTAGCCCGCTTATCCTTTCCATCTTTGAGCAAAGGAATAAGGGACGCAAACAAGTCTAGGAGAGACTCAAGCGCCAGATAATCTGTCATGGCCGGTCACTAGGCTAGTCGATGACACAACCATTGGATTCACCTTTTGTTTCCGAAATAGCGACACCGATACGTTTGCTAAGACGAGTTAACGGCCACATATTTCCTTTCCCTATGGAGATCATACCTTCCGATGTAACGTTCCCGAAGTTCTGCTGCATTTGAACTGCACGACTGGACTGAAGCCACTAAAAGTTGGTAAACCTTGGAGAGAAGGAAAAAACTTTCGGAAGGACATATCAACTCAAGAAGAAATAACGCACAATTGATAGCAAATCGCCGCTGGACTGAAGCACTAGCACAGAAGACTTGGCGAAGTAGATGGGGCACAGGACAGGATAGAACGCAGCGCCGACGGTCTCCTGAGCTTTCTCTACATTCAAAACCAGAGTGAGAATGTAAAATGATATCCAAAGCTTTTGGCTAACTATCGCTTTTCTCCTCTAAAAAGTCCTGCGCAGGAGAGCTTCAATCAGTTTCAAAGCAAGAGACTCGTATTATCTGAGAGCGATACCAGGAGGCCGGAGAGTATCGATCGGAGGAGAGACTCCCAAGAGGATGCCGCCTTGGTATGCGGGGATGACAAAATCTTGTCATTGTAAATAAATTTGAACACCGCGACGGCGTAATCGATGGTTGGAGATAGATGTATGCGGTACAAGGGGAGAATGCGGTCACGGAGAAGTTCCGTCAACCGCGCGAATGTGGTTTCGGACCCTGTTGACAATTCCTGAGACGCATAAATCAGAACATATTCAAAGGATACTTAGCGACTCACTAGTAATTTGATTGTTGAAGACAGTTGGGCCAGAGCCGACTCCACTTCTTTGTCCCCTCCC